CTATAGCAAAAACCTCTCAAAAAAAAAAAAAAAAGAAAGAAAGAAAGAAAGAAAAAAGAAAACCCCAAGAGACTCCTCTATCAAAGTAGTAGAGGTTCTCAGATTTTCCATTTATTTCAGGACAGCATGAATTATTAGAAAATAACAACTGAGTTGTAGAAGAGGGATCTCTTTCTATTGAAAATCCATTTTTTTAAGTACATAATTTACGTTCTGCTCTTTGGTAGGTATCATGCACTGGTCCATTATGTAGACCAGCAGACTAGGTATTAAATATGTGAATGGATATACAAAATCCCAAATGTCAAGAGTTTTAGCAGAAATTCAAGTGAGGCATGCTAAACCATCTTTAAACAAGAACCAAAATGGGGAACCAGCAGTTAGCGTAATGGCTATGTCGCTGAACTCCCACGTAGTCGACCGCAGTTCGTGTCCCGGACCTGGTGGCTTAAAACTCACGCCAGGCGCGTGTGCGTGCGTGCCCAAGATCCCGAGAGGAGAATGGAGGAGAAGGGATTGCGGCGTGACCATCCCCCCTGGGGGGTGAGTTCTCGCTTTCTGTCTCTATGTCTCTCTCTGTCTGTCTGGCGAGCGCACGCGCCCTACAGTGAAAATCTCTACAAAAAAAAAAAAAAAAACAAGAACCAATGGATCTGTAAATATTACTGTCTTGTCAGCTCTTCTGAAGAATTCAACTCGAGAACTTAAGAAAACATTCATCATGTCATACAATTTCCTCAAGAAGCAGAGTTGTATCTCAGTTTTGCTTATAGCGCTGATATCTTGATTTCTGTTGATGGCAAATATATTGCCAGTATTGCTTACATTAGCTTCCAGAACACTTCTGAACAGACATTGCCAAGCACTCCTTTATTTACAACTGTTTCTTTACCACATCAATCATTCTGGATCAAAAGATTCAACTCATCTTCTAGCCAAGAAGCCCATTTCAAAGGTGGCTTTTCCCTGGGTGAGGTATTTACTTATTTGAATGTGCTCCGCTCTGTGAAGGAGTCTTCTTGTCCACCAGACACAGCACAATTAAATTACAGTTTAGGGCTGACTATAATAATCATGAACTCTTCAGAAGTTGTTTGCATCATTTAGCCAAATAATTACATGTTGAATTACATCGTATATATTGGCTCCTTTATTCTACTGGTTATACTTTCAAGAGATTCTCAGATGTGAGCTCTACCATGAAAAATCTGGGTCCTATTCATTTATTCACTAAATAATTATAAACATTTGTTATTTCATTCAAAATTTATTATTTATTTTTCATAAATATCTTATTGCAAAAAATATTTTAGAGTTTTTACTTAGGAAATGTAAGACTCTAATATTTTATTCCAATTTAAAATCATAGGCTTTAATGCCCTATCTAAAATACCTAATGCAGTAATAAGTAAATTTTTAAAATTTAATATCTGAATTGCATGGCTCTTGTACTTATTTGTAGTATGTGGCTCACTTAAAATAGCTTCTTATTCTATCAAAAGGGAGTACTCCTCTGTCTCAGAGTTTTTTGCTTTCTATTATTTCAGATGCTAGATTATGAACAAGTACCGAATATTCATCTGAGTATTGGAGTTAAAAACCAAGCTGAATTTCACCACTCAGTTGCTTCTCAATTCCGAATGCATTCAACACCTGTGAGAATTCAGGTTATTAATGTGAGAGAAGGACCCACCTTTGATCCAAGTATTATGACTTTCAGCGTGCGTGAAGGAATAAAAGGAGACTCTTTACTGAATTACGTGCTTGGCACATACACAGCCACAGATTTGGACACAGGAAACCCTGCAACCAATGTCAGGTACTGCAAATTGTTTGTGTTAGTGTGATGTGGTTCTATCCAGTGTTAATTCATGTAATATGTGCTAGGTTTATGTGGGTTGTAATACTTTTGGACTTTTGCTTTTCTTACCTGTTTATTTGTTGGTTTGACAAGACTATTACAGCATTTGAAGTCTTAGAATTTTAATAGCATTTTAGTGGCTATAAGGTCTCCAGTTGGTTACAAGTGTAATTGTGTCGGGGGAAAAATTACAAGATCAAAGAGCTACCTAAATTGCTCTGAGTCCCTGATCTCTCATGGCCAGTCGTAATACCCTGATACCCTGGCTGATTAAGCCATATTATAGACAATAACATCATAAAAGATGAGTCAGTGCTTGTTTCCTTAAAACCTGTGTTATCTACAACTTTGAGTCTAATTTCATCCCTGTGGTTAATGTAAACAGAAAAGACAATGAAAAAAGTTAAAACACAGGTTTTTCAGAAATTTGATAAGCAAAGTGAGAGTTAGAACAGAAAAATAGAAAAGTGGGTCTGAGGGCCACTAGGTACATAGATTATCCATAAATTAGAGCTATGTAGAATATTCTGGAAATAACTACAGTGAAATATATGTCTTCTCTGCATCCTTTCCTTCTCTCTTTATCTTTCTCCCAATGTTTTTGGAGTGAATCAAGTCTATTGATTTATAAATTACCTTGTTCTTAACAACTTTATTTCATCAATGAAAAACTTTCAAATTCAAAAAGATTATTAAGCCTGTCACATGGGATTGAAAACAAAAGACACCAGATAAACTGAAGTCTTGAATTTGTGCCTGGTGCAGAGACCAGGTCTTCTTCCAATTAGATCACACATTTTAAATCAATTAACTGTTACAAGATCCAGATAGACAAGTTAAACAGAGAATACCACAAGCTCCTGAACAAGCCAACGATGAGATGTTCTGAAACCAATATGCCTTAAAATTCACAGCAAGCATATTAAGTATGTTACATGTAAAAAACAAGAGATATTTATTTTTGAAAATGAATAAAGCATATTTGATATTCCTATTATTTAATAAAAATCCTGAAATAAATGCATATATTTTATTAACAGTTATGCTAAGAGCTAGAAGACTAAGAAATTTTATAGTTCTGTAGTGAATCTGTACTTGATGTATTTAAACTTGAATCCAAATATACATTATAAACCAAGATAATATCACTCTATAGTACATGAACACAATATATGAGGTTTACCACTTAAGTTTTTATAATGATTTAAAAGTATTAACTTTCATAAAAGCATAATGAAGAATTTATTTATTTATTTAAAACAGGTATATCCTAGGGCATGATGCAGGCAGCTGGTTGAAAGTTAATTCAAGGACTGGTGAGATACAATTTTCCAGGGAGTTTGATAAGAAGTCAAAATATATTACTGATGGGATATACACAGCAGAGATCCTGGCTGTAGATGGTAAGAAAATTCATTTTTAATATTTTAACAACCTTACTGCTATTATGTTAAATACTAAAAATATTATTCTAACATGATATTTGGATGACTAAAAATATGTCATTTAGTGGTATATGTAAGTTTTATGGGCAGTTCTAAATACCTTAGACCAAGAACTGAATTCAATTATACTTTAAACTTAAGCCATCATTTAATTCACCTGCTTCCCCCCAGAATTTATAGTGCCCTATAGCCTAAAATACAAATGATAAAATATGTACAAATAAAATTCAGTTTCTCTTTATGACCTCAGCTTTTGAGTATGGCTACTCCAACTTATAGAGTATATTAGGAATGTTTATTTATAGAAAGGGCTACAAGCTGTGTACAAGGTTCATTTGGGGATCACTTGGGGAAAAAGGGAGTGTCTCTGTGAGTATAGTTGTTTTACAGTCACTGAAACTCACCTGCCATGATGGGCCTGGGTCACTGTTTCTTAATCAGACATACTGTTCACAGTAAGATTCTATGTACCAGGAAAGCACAATGTTATTTCAGATTAAAAATTTTAAGTACAAATGTACCAAATTAAGTGAATAAACTACTTTTCATATGGGAAAATCTATCAGGCATTTCTCTTGGTGAGTAATGACAAGAATTTGTTTATTTATCAATAGTTAAGATTCTCCCAAGCAGTGCCTAGGAAACAGCTGCTACAAATAAAAAATTAAAAAGCAGGCTATAACCAGGAAAGAAAGAGAAAGATAGGTGTCCCAGATACATACCAGATACATGCCCAGACACATGTAGGTTTGCATGAAATTTATATTTGATCTTTACTATAGCTAAACAGAAAGATAACCAAGATAACCAAGCAGCGGAGGATTTAAAAAGAAAACATGAAGGACCATCAGTTAGCATAATGGCTATGTCACTGGACTCCCATTTAGTCGACACAGTTGAAGTCCCAGACTCGGTGGCTTAAACTCATGCTGGGCGTGTGTATGTGCATGCCCAAGATCCCGAGAAGAGAATGGAAGAGAAGGGATAGCAGTGTGGCCATCCCCCCAAGGGGGTGATTTCTCACTTTCTGTATCTCTTTCTCTTTTTGGTGAGCGCACGTGCCCTATAGCCAAAAAAATAAAATAAAACTGTGATCAAGCCCAAACAATTACAGTTTATACATTCTCGTCTTCATCCTGTGGGAATCACTTTTAACATTTGGATCAGTAATATAAATAAAATTGTCCTATTTGTTATCAGTATCCCATATCTGTTTCTAAAATGGATTCTAACCATGTTGATCATACCCTTTGATTGCATATTGATCATATAAGAAAATCTTAACAAACTAGAATTTAAAAATGAGTTATTTCAAATGAATAAAAGAAAGTGAAAGGTGTTATCCAAAAGCACTGAGATGTCCAGCCTCTGTGGCCCAGTTGGTAGTATACTGAACTGCAGAGCTGGAAGCCACAAGTCAACCACCGTTTGAGTTCTCAGCCCAACTGGTCTGTAACACTCTGGGGCATGTGCCTAGAGTCTTGGCAGACAGGAGGACTGGAGGAAGGAAAGACATGACCAAGCCCCATGGAGAGCGTTTCTTTCTTTCTCTCTTGCACACACTCTATTTATGATTATTAACAATAAAAGCAACAAGGCTCTTTGTTCATTAACCCAAGCAGAGTGTCTTCATTGGCACAGGGCTGTCCAGAGGGTTCTTTTAGATCAGGATGCATGGAGATTGGGTGAAGCAGCAGAGGTCTAGTACAGCAACCTCCATTGGAGAACAAATGCTGTAAGCAATAGTGTAAGTTTTGGTTGCCACATACCAAGCCTAGAAAGCAACAGAGGATCAGAGAGTGACAAATTAAATGATCTATGGAATAATTTGATGTCTAATAAGACACTAAGGAAATAGGCACTTTAACCAGCCCAGTGCTGAGTTGAATATAAACAAAATCGTCTAGCCTATGGATAGACTTTTGGTTCATTATCATTTAATTAACTCAGTGACTTTAATTAACTCAGTGACTCTACCACTTAGTGATACTGAAAACATCTTTAAGTTTGTTAACTTCCTAGAAAATGATCTAGTACCCTAGAGATATTAGTATTCTAGTTTACAAATTAGAAAACAAAGTTTCCTTGAAAGATTTAAAAAAATCTTAATTTACTGTAACAGAATATAGAGGTAAAAAGTAAACTAAAATTCTGAATTCCTAATTCTTGCTCCTCTGCCTTTCCTAACAAATTATCCTAGCCAAAACTGTGTTTCAAACATGTTAGCAAAAAATATATGATAAATTTATGTTTGTTTTCAGAAGTGCTATTTCAGAAAGAAATAGCATTTAATGTCTGGAATTAAAATCAGCAAAGAAAGCAGAAAGAAAAACTACACAAGCAGCTATTTAATTTCAACCACGGTTATTTTCACAAACACCGGCCTCAATAAACATTCTGAATGGAAGGCTATAAGCTGGTCTGGGGTCTAATTAATGGGGACAGGGAGAGAAGAGAAAGCAGGACATTTAATAATTCATTTTTAAATGTACATAAATTAGCAGAATAAAATGAAGATTAAAAACCTTTAAAATGAGTGATAGAATGTGCCAGAGTCCTGAGTTGGGAAGAAGCTTGTTCAAAGAACTCAAAAGAAGTCAGCCTCGCTGGGAGGTGGTTCACAAAGGCAAGACTGACTTTGCGTCCTTAAAGTAGGCGGGATTCTCAGGAGTCATTCACACTATTTCTACATGCTGCGACACCATCATGGAACCTGAAAGAGATTTCCTCCCTGATAACCATGTATCCCAACACCCATGTCACTTTATTGTTTCAGATGGCTCAGGGAGAACAGCTACAGGGACCATATGTATCGAGGTTCCTGATATCAATGATTATTGTCCAGTCATTTTTTCTGAAAAAAACACCTGCATTGCCTCTCCATCGATCTTTATCTTTGTTGAAGATCATTCATATGGGGCTCCCTTTACCTTCTGTGTTGTTGATCAGCCACCAGGAACGGAATACGTATGGGATATCAGATCAATAAATGGTAAGTGGACTATAAACTTACTCATACTTTCAGTGCAGAAGCAAAACAATGACCCAATAATTGGTCACATCATTTAATAATACTTTCTACCTTTGTTTCTGTAATTCTTCACATGGTTACAATTAATGGAAATAATTCATGTAGATACTTAGGATTTTTGGGAAAATGTGAAGTGAAATAAAAGCCAAGTGTTTCACCAATATTATGATTATGAACAGTAGTATACAAATACCAGTTTATCCATCACTTTGTACAGATGGGACACTAAGCCAGTATTTGAATTGTTTGAAATAAACTGAACTCTTGACTAACTCAAGGGTTAGGGAATGTCCCAATTCTCTGTTCTGAATATTTTGAGCAAGTCACAAGATTGTCACTGAAACTCAGGTAACCCACAGATACATTTATACATTTTCTACTCATGTATGTAAGATCAATGAAATTATTTTTATGAAGGGTTATGAGTTCACACTTACTTGTAAGGGTTAAAGTTTAAATACAAATCGTCCAGTGTTAAAAGGAGGGTTAAGCAAACTATGGTGCATATTATTGGCATACTTTTAAATTTAGAATTATATGACATATTTAGGTACAAAGGAATGCATAAGCCTAAGAATATAAAGTGGAAAATATAGATCCCAGTAGTATGTGTGTATGTAGCTACACGAAAATGAATGCCTGACATTGACAAATAAACTAAGTAAATTTTAGGCAGCATAACATTGTATCTACTTTGTAGTTATTTCTTGAAGTATGAAATGTATATTAGAAGACATATGGGCTGGGGCCAGCAGTTAGCGTAATGGCTATGTCGCTGGACTCCCACATAGTCCACCACAGTTCGCCTCCCGGACCCGGTGGCTTAAAACTCACGCTGGGCATGTGCATGTGTGCCCAACATCCCAAGAGGAGAATGGGAGGAGAAGGGATTGAGGTGTGGCCATGCCCCCGGGGGTGGGGGGGTGATTTCTCACTTTCTGTCTCTCTGTCTCTCTCTGTCTGTCTGGTGAGCGCATGTGCCCTATAGCAAAAACCTCTCCAAAAAAAAAAAAAAAAAGAAAGAAAGAAAACATATGGGCTAAGACAGCTCCCTGATTCATTTGCAATAAGAGCAAAGACATCATGGGATGGTAGGATGGGGGCAAACTGTAGAGCCCAAGACGAGAGAAAATACTTTCTACGTATCTGAGGCATTAAGCTTCTCTGTTCACAGAATGAACAAACACTGAAATAACATCAGGAAAAAAAAAATGCCACTAATAAAAACTTGATCAAAGAAGAAAATTAGGCAACTTTTTTTTTGAACATCAAAATTTTTAGCTCTTTTCAAGAAGCCCACTGTACTATATTTTTTAAACTAAGTATATTAAAGTAAATAAGTTAAATTCAAGGCAATTCTGAATTCATCTTCCACTATAAAGCCAAATGGCCCATTCCCTAATTAATCATTGCTGGGGCCAATAGGTGGCACGGTGTTAAGGTGTTGGATTCCTACTTGACCAACTATGGTTTGAGTCTCAAACTCAGTGACTTGAAATACAGCTGACCTGTGTGTGTGTGTGTGTGTGTGTGTGTGTGTGTGTGTGAAAAATCCCTAGAAGAGAAGGGATTTGCTGTGTGGCCATTCCTCATGCAGGGTGGGTGATTTATCACTTTCTTTCTATCTGTCTCTCCTGGAGAATGCATATGCCCTATGCAGGGGGCGGGGGGGGAACTAAAAATATTAATAATTTTAACCACTTTTGTCCTCATTCAGATTCTATAGATTATGAGTAAAAAAAATTTAAAAGTTCTTTTATTTTTAATAAGAAGATAGAGGTTGGCAAACATGTCCAAACGATATTGTAAACTAACTGGTAAAAATTTTAACCACATTGGAGGTAATATCCCTAGGGATCTGTCTCAGTGGTGGTGTTAAAGAATAGAATGAACCTCAATATGTTGTGACATTGCCTTACTCAATTCTTACTTTATGCAAAGGTTGGATTTTGATAGCTATAATTGGCTTATATTATAATTGAAGCTAGTAAACAAGAATTAATAAAGAATATTGAGTATTATGGATTAATAAACTACTGTTCATGGTTTAGAAGTAAATTTTTTAAATAGTTTTTGTAATTTATGATTTATATATAACTATTACACATCTTTGTAGGGTACTTTAAAAGCACGTATACAGTGTATAATGAACAAATCAAGGATAAAAATATATCCTCCATCTTCAACATTTAGCATTGTATCATGTTGTGAACATTTGAAGCCGCCTTCATTAGTTATTCTGGAAGTATGTACTAGAATTGTCTATGATGTTCTTTACTGTGAAATACAGTGAAATACAGTTCTAAAGAAAAAATAAGTTGATTTAAAATCAGACCAGCAGTTAGTGTAATGGCTATGTTGCTGAACTCCCATGTAGCCGACCACAGTTCAAGTCTCAGACCTGGTGGCTTAAACTCACACCAGACGCATGTGCGTGTGTGCCCAAGATTCCAAAAGGAGAATGGAGGAGAAGGGATTGCAGTGTGGCCATCGCATCACCCCGTGGGCAGTGATTTCTCGCTTTCTGTCTCTCTGTCTCTCTGTCTTTCTGGCGAGCGCACGCACTATATAGCAAAAAATCTCTCCAAAAACCATGAAATACAGTTCTTAAGAAAAAATAAGTTGATGAAAAATCAGACAACAAAGCATCTTGTGAACTAGACCATGGAGGTAAAGTCCAAAATAGAATGGATTGTGTTTTAGAGATTTTTGCTGTAAGGCACGTGTGGTTGCCACAGAGAGAGAGAGACAGAAAGCGAAATTACCAGCCCCAGGAGGCAATGGCCATGCTGCATTCCCTTCTCCTCCATTCTCCTCTTGGAATTTTGGGCACACACGCACATGTGCCCAATGTAAGTTTTTAAGTTGCCGGGTCCGGTACTCAAACCACAGTCAACTACTTTGGAGTCTAGCGACATAACCATTATGTCATCCACTGGTTCCAAGAAAGAATTTTTTAAAAACAAAGATAATCATAACATAGCCAATGAAAGAAGAATTTGGAATTTCCAAGTAGAGGACTGTAGGAGATAAGAGTTTATATTCTGAAAATATCTGTGCTGTCATTGGTGCAGTTAGAGATGGGTAAAATTGTGCATAATAATAGCTCATTAGGAAGAGATAGAAAAACAAAACTGTGAGTTTGTAGGACCATTGTACTGTACCGTGCATAAACTAGTAAGTCCTTAAGAAAGCAAAAACAGGGAACCAACTGTTAGCGTAATGACTATGTCACTGGACTCCCACGTAGTTGACCGCGGTTCACATCCCGAACCTGGTGACTTAAAACCCACACCGGGTGCATGTGCGTGCATGCCCAAGATCCTGAGAGGAGAATGGAGGAGAAGGAATTGTGGCGTGGCCATCCCCCCTGGGGAGTGATTTCTTGCTTTCTGTCTCTCTGTCTCTCTCTGTCTGTCTGGCGAGCGCACGTGCCCTATAGTGAAAAACCTCTCAAAAAAAAAAAAGAAAGAAAGAAAAGAAAGCAAAAACAGAATGAAATTGGAAAGTGATTTGGTCATTTATAGGCTTTACGAAGTTATTGATTTTAGCCTGCTTTAAATTGATTCCAAAGAAAGACTCAGCTACTTGTATATTTTGGATTTTTCCTCCATAATCTAGTTTTATACAATGAATAATGGTTATAATAAATATATAAATATATTTTGAGTTTGTACTTAAGCTTATTTGTGGGTAAGGTAGTTGAATCTGCGTTTTAACCTATTCATTGGGAAATTTAATCACACTCAGTGATTAAATCACATTCAGTGATATTATCAATATGTGTGTATTGATCTTTTTATTCTATTGGGTTGTCAAAAAAGTCATAACACATTTTTGCATAAGAAAACTTAGAAAAAATACGTCATGACTTTCCAACAACCCAATGGTTGTCTTTTGTTCTCTTACTTCTATTTATTTCTCTTTAGTTTTCCTGGTGCAGTATTCCCTTAAGTATTTCCTGAAGAACTGATTTAGTTTTAGTAAATTCTTTCAGCATTTGTTTATCTGGAAATTATGTTATTTCTCCTTCCCATTTGAAGGGTAATCTTGCTGGGTATAATACTCTCACCTAAAGTTGTTTTGTTTTGTTTTGTTTTGTTTTGTTTCATTTCAGAGTTTTAAATATGTCTTCCCATTCTTTTCTTGCTTGCATTGTTTCAGTTGAGATGTTGGATGTTAGTCTAATGGGCTAACTTTTGTAAGTAATTTGGTTTTTCTCTCTTGACATTTTTAAAATAATGTCTTTGTCTTGGTTTTTACCAGTTTGGCTATGATGTGCCTTGGAGAGGATCTTCTTATGTTATATCTATTTAGTGTTCTTTGTATTTCCCAGATTTGGATATCTGCATGCCTCTCTAAATTTAGAAATGTTTCAGCTAGTATATCATGAAAAAGATTTTCTATGCCTTTTCTGTCTCTTTGCCTTCTAAAATACCTATTATGTGGCTATTCAGTCATTTAATGGTGTCTAGGATTTCTCATTTGTTGTCCTGCTTCTAGATAGTTATTCTTCTATTCTTTTCAGTAGCTTTAACTCAACCAGAGGTTTTGTTTTCAAGTTCAGAGATTCTTTCTTCTGCATGAGTCTAATCTGTTGATACTTTTGAGGGAGATTTTTTTTTTTTTTGGAGTGGTTTTCGCTATAAGGCACGTGCGCTCACCAGACAGACAGAGAGAGACATAGAGACAGAAAGTGAGAAATCACCCCCCAGGGGGGATGGTCACATTGCAATCCCTTCTCCTCCATTCTCCTCTCAGGATCTTGGGAATGCACACACATGCACCTGGCGTGAGTTCTAAGCCACCGGGTCCGGGACACGAACCGCGGTCAACTATGTGGGAGTCCAGCGACATAGCCATTACGCTAACTGCTGGTTCCCTTGAGGGAGATTTTTAATCTCCTGCCTCGTATCCTTTATCTCCAGGAGTTCTGTTGGATTCTTTCTTAGTATGTCTTTTTTTTTTTTTTTCAAGAAATTTTTGCTATCAGGCATGTGCACTCACCAGGGAGACAGAGAAACAGAAAGCAAGAAATTTTACCCCGGGGGATGGCCATGCCTCAATCCCTTCTCCTCCATTCTCCTCTCAGGATTTTGAGCATTCATGCACACATGCCCAGTGAGAGTTTTAAGCTGCCAGGTAAGAATTGAACTGTGGTCAACTATGTGGAAGTCCAGTGATGTAACCATTATGCCATCTACCAGTTTCAACATATGTCTTTTTCTTTATGGAGTTCCTCCTTTGAGTCATGAAAGGAATTTCTCATGTCCTAGAATTAATTATTTATTTTCTCTTGCATCTCATTGAGTTTTGTTATGATGAATATACTGAATTCTTACTCTGATATTTTTGTGATTCTTGTGTTTTATCCACTGTTGGTGAGGACTTACTATGTTTTCAGTCACCCAGTAATATACTTAATTATTCCTACTTCTATGAAATATGTTTCTGTAGCTGTGTGTTCATATCTTTCC